TTTTATAGATTTTTTAAATAAAAATATATTTTATATAATGTAGTATTGCACTTTATTGCAATACTAAATATATATTAATACATGAAAATATTTCAGTACAACCCCCACGAAAGAATTCATAATCAAATTACTGAGCAACCACTAAATTAAATAATGGGTATCATTTTAAAGCTAAGAATCTCAGCTTTTTAATGAATGTAACGGTATTTAGATCAACTCTTAAAGAGTACAGAGTAGTCCCTCCAAAACAGAGTGTACCGCGGGCAAGATGCACCAAAGCTTAGAGTCTGACCTTTACAATGCATGTGGCTAATTTGATTAACTCCAAAGTAGTCCAAAGTTATTTGCTGATAAATTAAAAAAAAAATGTTTCATCATTTACAAAATATGTTTTTTTCTACTATGTACTGCAATATGTCAGAAATATCATACAGCCCAGATAATCATGTATCATAAGTCATTTGAAAGGTCTCTCCGAGTAGAGTTGAAGTATAATTGTTTGGGGCTTTGACTTGAGCAAGTAAAAAGAGCCCAAATTTACCATAATCCATTGATTAGATCCAAAGATATTCCTAACCTAACCCTAACCCATAGAGCTATAACACATAAAACCAGACGGACGCAGGTGAGGTGCAGAAAAAAATAAACAACTGGCGTTTTCGTTCATAACTTCATGAAGCATGCATAGACCATGGAAATCTGCACAACAATTTTTTCAGAAAATTATCTTGATTAAAAAGAGTCCAAACTCACCACAATCCATCATTTAGATTGTTTTGTTATGTATGGTAACCCTCGTTCCCTGATGGAGGGAACAGGGACATTGTATCCAATGTAACAACACTAGGGATCAATCTTGGGAGCTCAAACACCTCTGACATCATTGAGAAAAGGCAAATTAAAATTGGTTTGCAGATTTTGCATAGCTGGCCACGCCCCGGACATCGGGGTATAAATAGGCCAGCGTAGCATTTGCTCGCTTGTTCTGTTCTGAGGAGTCCAGAAGCATCTCAACCCACTCAGAGGCAGGGTTATCATAAGTAACAGAGATTTTCCTTTTCAGTCGTTCACTTCAACGTTGTGTCAGATGTAATGACACTAGGGGTCCCTATACTAAACGCCACAGCTGCCGAACTGTGTCACGAGTCCACAGGGGCGCAGATGCTGACAAGCCAACATGTCACGACCAAATGCACCTCTCTTCCTTGTAACCTTCCAACGTACAAAACTTAAGACCTTGCTCTAAACATCCAAATGAGCCAACCTTTTTCCCCATAGTTAGTACTTACCAGTAATATAGAACGGCTGAGAAAGTCTTGGAAGTGAACGTCGGGACAGTGACTGTTCCCTCACGGGGGAAAGACACTACAGAGATTTAACACTACCCAAAAGGGGAGGTAACATGTGAAGATCCACCTATTGACTTAAGAAGGAAGTACCACATTGGGAAGATTCAGAGGTGGGCTCTGTGTGAGGGGAGAACTACCAAAAGACAGAACCTCACGACAGATCGAGTGTCTGTCTATGGGAAACACTGAGCCAAAAGGGCAACTCAGTTGGGAATACACTCATGGGGCCGCAAGCCGCTACATGTGGAGCAATAACCCAATACGAGAGTTTAACTTGAGGGAACATACATTGTGATGAGTTCTAATAGTGGGTTCCTCAACCGAAATTTGCTAAGTCAAGTGCTTAATTGATGGAAAGGTAGTCATATTATACCACCCGTAACAGGGGGAGGCGCTGTAAACAAGCAGGTGGTGTAAAAAAGTACAGATTGTGCTTCCCTACCGATCTGCCATATACAGTGTTGTGGTTTGCTGCAATAGCAGTCAGTAGCCCGAAGGGAAGAACCCTGTACTGATATGCTCACTCTTCAAAGGCAAACCGGCCTGTGCCTTGGAAGGGCCGAGACATGAAAGTATGCGTCCTTCAGGTCTATTGCCGCAAATCAATCCTGATGTCGGACACATGTTCACATGTTTAAGGGTCAGCATTTTGAACGGGAGCTTGTGAAGGGCCCTGTTCAATACCCTCAAGTCAGGGATCGGTGTGAGCCCCCCACCCTCGCAACCTCCGATTGAAAAATGGCAGCATTCTCGCCTCATACAGAGGTAAACAGAATGCCATTAAACTTCAACTGGCGCCTGGTGAAATGAATCGCATATCCGAGCCTAATAGTTCTAAAAAGCTAGCAGGAAGGATTGGAGAGGCTTAGCTAAGCGACCAGATACCTTGCCAGCAGTCTCAAGGGAACCACGTTTGACATACCTAGGGCAGGGTTTCTGCAGCCGAGTGGACCAAAAGGTGCTGTGGTAGGAGGTGAAACATCCTGAGGAAAAAACAGCACCTTGCCGGCAGACATGCCATCAATGGACGAGGGAACAGAGGTTCACCAACATGCATCGAGTTGGCTAGATGACAGACTTGTTGCATCAGAATGTGAGGAGACAGAATGTCTGTGTCCGAGCAGGCTCTGATGCATAGTTTCAGCATCTGGCCGTCGCAACTGGGAGGGCCAGAACCGCTGTAACTTAGAGAAGGAGGAAATTGCTCTTTTATTGACAAGGTGGTGGCTTCCTGCGAGTGGTGGGCCGTGGTTGGGCTTGACTGCAGGCCCAGGCTGTTTTGGGGCCTCGGCAGTCCTCACCGGACTATGTTTAATGGTTTCCGTCTGCTTCTTAACCATTGAGAACTGCTGTGCAAATTCTTCCACAGTGTTGCCAAAGAGACCAACCTATGAAATGGGGATGTCAAGAAAGCAAACTTTCTCGGCATCCCACATCTCAGCCAGGTTGAGCCACAGGTGGCGCTCCTGGAACACTAACGTGGACATTGCACTACCCAGAGCCTGCACTGTGACTCTCATAGTCAGTCACCGAGCGCAGTTCCTGCAATACCTCTGGGTTTGGACAACCCTCGTGCAGATCTTTCAATGCCTTGGCCTGGTAGACCTGCAGAATGGCAATGGCGTGCAGTGCGGACACAGCTTTTCCAAAAGCTGTATAAGACTTTTTACAGGCAAAATTTACTAAATTTACAGGCCCTAGATGGGAGTCTCGGGCAGCCCCACCAGATGGCAGTGTTTTGCAGGCAAAGATGCACCACAATCGCCTGGGCACGACTTAGTGTTGCACTCAGCACCCAGAAACCAATCATCTAGCTGCGAGCACTCGGGACAGGGTGGAGGAGTCCACTCAAGACTGATGCTTTTGGCTGCCCGGGCAAGCACGGATGCAGCAATTGAGAGCTCACCCTCTTCACAAGCCCCAAATAAGAGATTGAACTCACCCTGAGACGAGCTCTTAAACTCATCTGAAAGCTCTACCAGTAGGCACGACGTGTGGGAGGAGCGTGAAGCCTGTGGGGATTCCCCTGGCAGAACCATTCTTGCTTCTCCGAGCTCCTCCATAGCGGACTTTGCTGCAGCTCAATACTGAAAAGTAGAAGGACCAGAGTGGCAAGCGGCCAGGATGACTCAAAGTCTTTTGGCAAAGAACCAGAGCCACAAGCGCAGCGTGCTGATGGAAAGTGCCTCGCACTCGGGGCACGAGCCATCTACGAGCGCTGCTTCAGCGTGAGCACAGCCCAAACACTGAACACAAAGCTTGTGCGAAGAAAGAGATATGAAAACCGCAACCAGAAGCACACGGGTGGAAAGGTATGATATAAACACACACAGTTCAACCAGTGAAGCTCTTTGAGAGAAATTGCTCTTTTAGTTGGAAATTTGCTCTTAAAGTTTGCTGTTGAAAAAAACAGAACAAGCAAGCAGATGCTACGATGGCCTATTTATACCTGGATGTCTGGGCAGCTATGCAAAATCTGCTCACCAATTTTTATTGGCCTTTTCTCAATGTCAGAGGTGTTTGGGCACCCAACAATTTTTAAAATGCCTTCAGTGAGTCAAGGGCTAAACAAAAAGGCCTGTTTTGTTCCAAAATGCTGTAACCTTTGGATAATTTATGCCAGGGCGTAGCCCTAATTTCAGAAGTGAGGGGGACAGAAATGTCAAATGTAATAATTCCTTTTTGTCTAATTGTCAGATTGTATTTATTTATTTATTTTATTATCTCTTACTTTTAATTGACTCAGAAATTAAATAAACCGCTGGACAATTACCAATACTTTGTATTCTGTAATATTTTTTCTTATATTTTTCTAATGGCAATTTTATGAATTGTTCATATAATATCTCTTTTTTTCTTTTTTTATCACAGAATATATATTTTATAGTTTCTATATGCTACTGCAATAAATTATATTTCAGTTAGCACTGCATTATTCAGATACTTTATTATCCGGAAATGACTTGAAAAACACACATAAGCCACAGCAATCGTGCAAGTACACAGCAATAGCTGAATGCCTTTGTTCAGGGATGTCCTGGCATGTCATAAGTTATTACTTCTATGAGTCCGTTTACAAATTTCTGTGCAAGAGCGCCCTCCAGCTTTGAGCTATATGGAACACACTTCAGAACAGTGTTCAGTGCTCAGTATTGTTCACAATTTGTTGGGATCGTTTACTGACATTAAACTGATACCGCTTTAGTGGGCAACAGTAGGAGAATAGCCGATAGCCTAGTGGGCAGTGTGCCAACATGTTACGCCGTTGCATTACAGCGTTTGAATCCTGGCTCGAGGACCTTTCCCACCCCACTATCTCTCTCCCAATTGCTCCCTGTCTCTGCTACAATGTTCTATAGTAATAAAGGCAAAAAACACCAAAAATAAATTTGGCAGATGTGTGCATTTTTTTTCCAAAATACATCATTTGGTTGGGAGAGATTTAAAACTTTAAATTAGGATTTAATATTTGACTAATATGCACTAATATTAGGTATAGCTTATTCTTTTAAGATCCAGATATTTGCATATGTACAGTAATAATAAATCTAGATAATAAGTAATCACAGGGCACAAATGCTTCAGATGCATAAATTGACTAATTGTTTAATAGCAACTAAAATGCATAATGCATAAATGCATTATTTTTGATTTAGGAAAACAATAAGATTTTATTACAATAAAGTGATAGAAAAACAGGAAAAGTGTCAGTATTAAATCTGTCTCGCCATATATTCCAGTGTACAATACCTCAGCCATTAGCACTTCAGATCATCGCCTGAAAAACAATAGGTTAATAATTTTTTTTATCAAGCAATATAACATATCTATTTATATCATAATATTACATTCATATCTGTTCTTTATACATAATTTTAATATGTTGATTTGGTGCTCAAGAAAAAAAATAACATTATTACCGATGATGAAAACCATTTAGATATTTTTCAGGATTCTTTTATGAATATAAAGTTCAAAAGAACATTTGAAATAGTTATTTTAAACATGTAAATGTCTTTAAATTCAGATTTATGAGTTCAATTATAAAAAAAATACTAATGGAGTTTTAGATAAAAATGTATTGTACTTACAGTAGTGTTTATGCACATGGGGAGGTGTAGTCAATCACAGACAATTCACCTGGAGGAATAAAAACACAACCTAGTTTTTTATGCACTACATTGTTGAGCTTGTCTCAATAAAATGAAAATGCATTACGGTAAAATTAAATACAGGCTTGTAAAGCATAATTACACAATGCTTATATCATGATGTCACTAAGATTTATAAATAAATAAAAAAACATTAAAATGGAAATAGTTTTTCAGATTTTTGTTATGATTTTTTTTTCTATTATTATGTTATCATTTATTATATTTTGCTGGGTTTATAATAAAAACCCAATATTGTATTTCAGAGTGCACAGTGATGAATAAACACGTACTGATCTTGTAGTAGTCATATACGGTCACTACAGCTGGTTTCAGGTTCTGCACTGGTACGTCCTGCATGAGCTTCAGGCTGATGGACTTCTCCTGATTGTTTTTCAACTGGAATGGAAGAGAACGTTATTATTACATTATGATTATAGAGAGATTTATGTTCTATGGGGTATTGACATACAGTATAGAAATGTGTTAAAGGAATAGTTCACCCCAAAATGAGAATTTGTTGAAAATGTACATGTAGTTTATTTCTTCATAGGAACAGTTTTGGAGAAATGTAGCATTACATCACTTACCAATGGATCCTCTGCAGTGAATGGGTGCCGTCAGAAAGAGAGTTCAAACAGCTGAGAAAGACATCACAATAATTCACACAACTCCAGTTCATCAATTAATGTCTTGTGAAGTAAAACGTTTGTTTGTAGTAAACAAATTCATCATAAAGATGTTTTTAATTGTTGCATCCAGCTTCAATACAAGTCCTCTATTAATAATATTGTTTCCTGTAGTGAAAAACCTCTCATCTGAATCAGGAGAGAACTATGCACAGATCAAGAACTGTTTACAAGTAATAACAGTTCTGTAATGACAACTCTCGGAGGGATTGGCATGGTAATGTACACGACAATGTTAATGTATTTGGTCTTGGCGGAATAGATCTGCTACGCTGCTGCTGCAGCAGAGCAACTACAGAGACTCGCTACTGCCAAAACATCCACAACATGCTGCTGTGAGCATGTAAGAAATATTGCTGCTGCAAATATAACATACATGAAATAACCCCCATATAGCGTACATGAATCACCTCATAGCAGATCTATACAGGTGGAGCTGGGGAAGGTGGAGGGTTTCTGAAGCAAGCTGCAACTGCAAGCACTAATCATACATTTGAATGATGAGCAGCGAGCTCATTGGCTACCAAAATGCAACTTTTCACTTCACAAAACTTTAACTGATGGACTGGAGTTGTTGTGAATTATTGTGATGTTTTTATCAGACATTCTGACAGCACCCATTTACTGCAGAGGATCCACTGGTGAGCAAGTAATGTAGTGATACATTTCTCCAAATCTGTTCTGATGAAGAAACAAACTCATCTTGGTTGGCCTGAGAGTGAGTACAATTTCAGCCAGTTTTCATATTTGGGTGAACTATTCGTTTCAGTAAACAGGGTCAGTATCCCTTTTATTGTCAAAATATTAGTGATCTATCCCAAAAAGGGTTCAAACCCCTCAAGGTATTTGAATAAAACATTTACACTATCCAAATAGAAAATGACATGATCCTCATCCAGATCCAGACGTTTGATTGTGGGGTCTTCCCTCAGCTGTGGAGACAGAGGAGTGAATGAGAATAAATCAAACCCTGGCTACACAACTTGATATTAAAAGAGGACCAGAGCCCTTCAAGTGTCACTCACAGACTGCAGAGACGTCTCATCTGGCCTAAACCCCGACAGCAGCCTGACGTTAATGATCACCATGCTGGTCTCCGCTCGTGTGCCGTTATACCTGTCATATAATCGTTCCAACAATCACAAACAGGGTTCACAACCACACCTTGTTCTGTATGTAGTCTGGCAGACAGCAAAGAGTCTATTAGGCCATAAATTAGGTTGAATCTTTATTCATTCTTTCTTTATAGCATCAAATGTATATGTTAAGTTACTAATTCATTTAGCAATATATTTGCAGTGGAACAAATATATATAATTCTGTACATAATTTTTATAGAAATTATCATTCAAAGTTTTTGTTGTTGTTGTTGTTGTTGTTTAAAGAAGTCTCTTATTCTCACCACGAATTTAATCAAAAATACAGCAAAATAATGATTACTACAATTTAAAATAACTGTTTTATATTTGAATATTTTTAAAATGTAATTTATTCCTGTGACGGCAAGGCTGATATTTCAACAGTAATTACTCCAGTCTTTAGTATCACTTGATTCTTCAGTAATATGCTGATTTGAAGCTCAAGAAACTCTCCTTATGTGCTTAATATTATTGTGGAAGCTGTGATACTTTTTTCAGGAATTGTTGATTTGTTACAGCTGTCTGCAAGACTTCTGTACATAATTTTTATAGATATTATCATTCAAAGTTTTTGTTGTTGTTGTTGTTGTTGTTTAAAGAAGTCTCTTATTCTCACCACGAATTTAATAAAAAATACAGCAAAATAATGATTACTACAATTTAAAATAACTGTTTTATATTTGAATATTTTTCAAATGTAATTTATTCCTGTGACGGCAAGGCTGATATTTCAACAGTAATTACTCCAGTCTTTAGTATCACTTGATTCTTCAGTAATATGCTGATTTGAAGCTCAAGAAACTCTCCTTATGTGCTTAATATTATTGTGGAAGCTGTGATACTTTTTTCAGGAATTGTTGATGAACATGAATACAAATTAATTCAAAAGAACAGCATTTATTTGAAATATGAATATTTTACATTTATATTTATATTGTCTTTACTGTCACTTTTGAGCAATGCAATGCATCCTTTAAAAAAGTCATACTGACCCCAAACCTTTGAACAATAGTATATTTAATATTTATACTTTTTAACATGCAATTAAAATGTATTATACTTTTTGCTAGTTTGTAGCATTTAAATGCCTAGTTGAATACTTTTATAGTGTTTTGATGTTGTATGGAAAAGAGCTGTATGAAGGTTCTTTAAAATAACTTTTTTTTGTTGTTGTTTCACAGGAGAGACAAAGTCATAGAGGTTTGCAAGTAGTAATAAATAGAAATAAATGTAAATATTGCTCTTACCCTGGTGTTCATGTCTTTGATAGTGATTAAATGACAAAATATTTATTTCTGGGTGAACTATCGCTTTAAATAATGACAGCGTGCATAGTAATTACTTAAATAAGAATGCTAAAATAATGATATAACATTAAATTTGTTTCACAAATTCACATGTTGAAAGTATAATGCACATAAGGGACAGTAGTTGTTTGTTTTCTAACAGAAATGTGGCTCACCTTACAGTAGTGGTTAGTGTAAAAGCTGGGGTCTTTGTGTTGCTGCAAACCCCAGGATTTGATTTGATTTTGAAGGCCAAAGAGTCTGGAGGAGGTGGGATATTGTAGTGCAATGCAAACTGAGAGACAAAAAAACACAGAATGATGTCAAAGACGAGGTGACTTACATCACTTTTATAGTCATCAGTAACCTTATGTAATTCCAAATCCTTATGACTTCCTTCTGTGATCCATTGAAGAAAGTAAGTCATACAGGTTTGGAATGATATACAGGTGAGTAAATGATGAAAACTTTCATTTCTAGATGAACTATTCCTTGGATTTCTCAATATGTGCATCAAAAGAGGTGCACAGACCTGCACAAACACACAGCCTTTGCCTTCTGTCCTCAGCTTGTATGTGCCAGTAGCTTCCTGCAGCTGTTTCTCCTGGTAAAGCAGCCGGTTGTTCCGGTTCACAGTGAACTGGTTCCTCTGGCCTGAGGGGGAGGTCATGGTTACGGTAATGGATCCTTCTGGATTGTAGGTGGCAGCACTGTACTTAGCAAGGGCCTGGAGTGCTACAACAGTATCCTGTTCACAGAGAGAGAGGGACTTACACCACTTACAGTCAATAATGATAAAACACATTATAAAGACAGAAAGGGGTCTTAAAAAAGCTGCATGAGATAAATAACACCTGTGTAGAGGAGAAGCCTCCATACGCATTCTGCTTCTTGGTTAACCAGTGCACTATGCCAGCAGAGTAGTTCAGTCCAAATCCAGGGAGTGTGGGTCCCGAGAGTAGCGCCAGCAACACATAGGCACACATCTCTACCTCCACAGAGCCCCATGGTTGCGCATTATTATCCAGAGTCCAGTATCGTCCAACACCTAAAATAATCAGGGCAAGGAAACTGGAACATCGAAGGCTGGTGGTTGTGTTTATTATTAAAATCAATGGGATAATCTAGCTCAGAGGTTTTCAAACCAGGGTTCAAAGAAATTAGTATTTGGAGTACACGGAAAAATGTTAAGAAGAAAATTATAATATATATTTTTTATTATTTTGATTTGTTCCCGGGTCAATATCACCATAGAGTGCCTTTCAACCCTCACAATACTCATTTTGGTTTCAATTTCCCATTCACTTTATGTCATATCATAAATAGTAGACACTCAATACTACAATGACAGGGTGGACATTTTGAGCTTCATTTAGCATATTAGCTTACAACAAACTGTGATTAGCTAAATATTTAGTCTGGTTGTTGAAGAAAATTTGGTATATTTAAACATAAATATTTTGAAAATACTGTATTCGAATCACTTCTGGCATATTTTATGCCGACAGGGTGGATATAAGCAAATTAAGCAAACTCATATGATGAAAATTTGTCAATCGAAAAGTCACCAACTTACTCACCTCAGCCAATGAAATTCCCGCCACTGAAGAGACAAAAAATCTGTTGTCCTGATGTCACTAAAGGGGATGGCCTTTTCTTAAAGGGGCGGATTCCCCAATACGACAGGGTGGACAACCATTCAAGGGACATGGACAAACTCTTCTTTTTTTATTAAATAAAAATATAGTTTTTATTACCAAATGATCAATACACTCAAATTGAGTAATCTCTTATTAAATAAAATATTAATAGGATCTTTTTTTTTTGTTTATTATTTTATGATTTGACAATATTCTACTATGATTCAAGTTTAATGAGCAGTACATGGGACATAGCAAAATAGCACGCATCCTCTTACACAAAACAAAACAAAAATCTAGAAAATGTATCTAAACAACCAAGTAATGATTTTGTTAAGAATATAAAAACTTAGCCTAATATAACAACACCAAGTTATCATGGCAAATGAGTTATTTATGTACAGGACACCAAAAGGCATCATACAGTGATATTGACCTCCCCTGTTTTAGTTAAATTGTGGCCACAATATAACTAAATTAAAACAAGGGAACTAGTTAGTACAACGTGGCCATGATTTAACTAAAACAAGGGATGAATTAATAAGATGTGGGAATAAATTAATAAAATGTGGCCACAAATTAAGTTGTGGGAACAAATTCTTAATTTACGATATCTGTTTTTTCTTCAGCATGTCATGCACGGCATATAAAATATATACTGTAGAAGCCTTTCTATTTTTTTTAAAAACCATATACTTTGCACATCCTTATAAGTTTTTAGTATCTTTAATTGTCTTCTTTAATCTAAAGCTGAATGGTACCTTCTCTCTTGGCCTGCTGGTCCAGGTTGGAGAGGAGGCTCCGTCTCATCTGTTCATCTCCAGCAAGAGTGAATGTGTAGGACAGCAAAGCAGTCGCATAAGTGTTGGCGATGTTATTGGAAGATTCCTTCAGACATTTAAGGCTTTTTGACACCATGGGATCCTTACAAAGCACACAAGAGACTTAATGAGTGTCTGCTTCCTTCATTGGTCACATTATCTGTATTGAGTTATCTGTGACTAGAGTCCATCTCTTTGGAGCCATAAAGAGGGTTTTACTCACAGTTTTCGGGACGCCTAACTCCAGCAGCGCTGCAGTGATGTATGCAGAGAGAGTGACTTCATCGCTGACACCACCCTATGAGAGGAAAAGCATCATCAAAGATCCTTCCCACCCTCAGCATTTCAATCTCCTCAATGTATTGCCATCTAACAGATATTTTCAGATTGTGAAATCCAGAACCACCAGACTAAGGAGCCGTTTTCCTCTCCATAAATGACTCTGATTCATTACCTCTCCCTGCAATCATCTCCTCATCCCACTCCACACTATTTCTATTTTCTAAAACTGTTTGCTATATATTTCTCTATTTAAATGTAACTCAAAACATTACTTTTTCCTAAGAGTTGTGGTAAGAGTTGAGAAATGTAATTTTACAGTGTGTCCTGTTATGCAGATAACATTAGAACGTCAAAAAAATTTATCCTAATTGTTGACTTAACATATGTAAAAATGTGTCTCTTTTTCAGTTTTTAAACAATACATATAATTACATTGTTTATATAGTGCATTTTAATAATGATCATCACTAAAACATGCTAAATGTATGCTTAAACTTAAAGTTTAAATTATTTTGCCAATGAGATCTATGGACATTATTCACCTGCCTCCCAAGACACACACACAGTCTTGTTGTATAAAACATGGTTATACAATAAGCCCTCCTGCACACTGCAAAAGAAAAGTCCTGCAGATACCAATGTTCAGTTCATGTGAGCCATAGGCGGATATCCGGGGGGGG